CTTAAATGGCGACATCAAAAGAATCCAATATACAACATCCGTGAAATAAGTACTTTGCTCCAAATATTTCTTCCTCATAGAACCTTAGCTTCAACAATGTGTTCTCCAAGTCGAGTAATGACTAACCTAGTGCCACTATATAACCCATATATGAGATTGATCAATGTTTCAAATTAGCATGACCGGAATACCAACTTTCAATTTTAAGATGTGATTATGAATTTTAGAGCATTTAATTGTATTCAAGAAGTAATTTGTGTACACTGAATGTAGATTTTCTAAATTGACAAACAACTTAAAAATATTGCCGGAGCTCAGATAAACACGTTCTTCACCAGGTATCGAGTGCAAGTAGAACTTTCCTTAAAAAATGACGGATCATAAAATTTGCACAATAATGAAGGATAAGTACTTTCAACAATAGCAACAAAATTTAACTCAACTTTAATCAACCTTACTCAATCAATCACTCTCACACATTACATCAACTTTAATTCGTTATTCATCCACTCACATAATTTTAATTGTCTATCACTTTCAATCATTTATCTCCCACTTTAATATCAGTCATTTTTAAGCATTTTATTTGAATACTATATTACAAACTTAAAATCTCACTATTTTTTTTTTAAATATGGTCAAAAATATCATCAATCTTATGATAACCACAAATTAGAGGTTGCATATCATAATATGTTTTTGAAAAATGAATATTTACAATTACCAATTTCAATTTTATAAGTCAATTTATCCATACATGAACTTCCATATATTATGAAATTATTGCATAGTTATTGGAATCTTCTTATTGTAATAATGATATTTTATGCTAATAAATTGTCATGTGAGTAATACGTTAATAATATATTATTACATATAATATATATTTTTTTATAAAGATCAAAAACATTGAAAAACCTGCACTCAATATTATCCTTAAATACATAAATTAGATTTAGCAAATCTTGAATATTCCACAAATTTGCATTAAAGTATTCCACTACATATCAGTTAAACGAAAAGTCAAATTTCAGGCGTGTGATCAAAATTCATTTGAGTTAGTCCGTTCTACATTTGGGCACTCTTACCCATTATCTCAAATTATAATTAAAAAAATAGGAAGATTCTACGGTCCCATTACGAAATTATTCCGTCGGACTTTATAACCGTTTGATAAATTATTTACGATGGTTACATGATGATCTAACGCAGTGGCGAATCTACATGCATTAGTAGGGGTCAGCTGACCCCTATAGATTTCAAAATTTTTAGTATAAAATACTGTTCAAATACTGTTTACTAGGTTAATGACCCCACTAAAAAATATTACTGACCCCGGTGAATGATGAGGCTGGCTCCGCCCCTAATCTAATGATTACAAACGAATTAGTTCGGTAACGAAACTGTAGCATTTTCCAAAAAAAAAAAATGGTAAATTGTGCCAAACATCCCTGTGTTATACGAAATGCGCGCGTTACTATCTTGTGTTTTAAAAAATGCATGACACCCTCTTGTATTTAAGTAATTGTTGCACGATTTACCGATTCCGCATTTTTTAAAACACAAAGTAATAACGCGCCCATTTCGTATAACACAGGAAAGTTTGGTACATTTTACCCCAAAAAAATATTAAGACAACGAACTTATTTCAAAATGTGTACAAATATAAAACAAATAAATTAAACAAAGGAAAATAATAAATAATTAATAATAATAATAATAAAACACACACAGTCAGACTCGGTCAGTCACGACGAACTGTAGTAAAGTAAGTGAAAACTTTTCAACGAAGACTTGAAAAAAACCGGCCCACCAATCTATATATATATAAAAGCCAAGCAGCTCAAATTTTCCCTCCTAAACTATTGTAAATACATGTCATTAATATTTTGATCAATTTGATATAGTTTGTCTCAAAGTTGTAATGATATGATTTTCATTAAGTATGAGAGCTAAAATACTACTAATATTTATTGGAATATGTGAAACCAAGGAAAACATAATTACATTTCCATTTTCCCATGTACTAATACTAAATTAATTATACATTTTAAGAAACTTAGAGGAAAAAAAATTACAATAAAATTTAAAAATAATAGCTAGAATACAGTTTTACGCTAAAAATACTTCTAATACCACACACACACACACACACACACACACACACACACATATACTGAAAAAACTTGGAGGAAAACTTTTACTCTAAAACTGCATTAATTACTTATAAATAAATGTGTCAATTTCTATGTAGATTTCATAATAATGACAATTATTTATCATAAATGAATTTGTATATAGCTTGGAAACTTGCACTCTAATTCAATTTTAAAGTTAAATTGTTATTTCCAATGTAGAAATTCGAAAAAAAAAATATAATTGTTTGTTACAAATACATTTTGTAAATGATTATTTAGTGTGAAGTTCCATTCCAGTTTTCTATTAATTTTTTTTATCTTATTCCTTTGTAAACAACATAATTATTTGAATATGAAAAAAAAAAAAAACTATATTATTTATGACAATGCCTCAAAGTGTGCATTGCATATGTCCTAATTTATATATATATGTATGTGTATATATATATATATATATATATATACATGTGTGTGTGTGTGTGTTTGAAGTAGCTTTGAGAATAATCATTTCCCTATAATAATTATACCGTGAAATAAATTATGTCAACTATTATGTATAATGTGTCATTCAAATAATAATTATATTTATTTATTAAAAATTAAAAAATTTATATATAATTATGCATTGAGAACTTGCACTCTAATTCCCATGAAAAAATACATTTTAATATTATTTTGTTAATTACTATGGAAATAATTTAAGTCAACAAAATATAATTAATTATTATAAATCCTTATTTTACAAATAATTACTTCGTGTGAATTTTCATTCTAATATTTGTACAAATGCTTAATCAAAAATAACACATTTATCAGTATATATTAGTTTATGTATAAATATATTATGATATTATTATAATCTAATACGGATTACAAATGATATACTTTAATAACAAAAAAAATATCAATGGTTTACACTTGAGAAGTTATATATTAGTTTATGTATAAATATATTATGATATTAATAATCTAATATGGGTTACAAATGATATACTTTAATAACAAAAAATATTAATGGTTTACTTTTAGATGTAAATTTACTTTCACAGTTTATATACAAAATAAAAATTAGATGATTTAGTGTTAAAACATGGATCAAAATTTAGTTTCATTTACGGGTAAAAAAATAGACTAATACTGCAGAAAAATATTGTGAAAGATAAAAAAAATGAAGAAATGATAACAAAAAGAGTGAAAAAGTCTCGACCATAAGAGAGAGAAAGAGTGACAATATGGTTTTGACCGTGAAGACTGAATAAGACAATACATATTTATCATCTAATTATTTAGTGAATTTTGTGTTATATATGAGGTCGTTTATATTGGTTTTGGGCCTAATTGATTGAATAGTTTGAGCCAAAATACACAGTTTGTTAAATTTATTTATTTTTAGTTGATATCATTTGTGTCATATAGGCCTAAAATTGAGGTCATCTAAAAGTTTGTGACTGAAGTGACTTCACACATTTTTATTTCTGTATTGATCCACAATTATGAAACTATATTTTTTTATGAATATAAATAAAATATTATGTTAGTTATTGTTATTTTTTTGTTATAACACATGTTTTTTTTTTCTTAAGAGAATGACAAAGAATATATTATTACTAAATTGGTGCAATAAACAAATTTAATGCATCAACAATTTTTTTCTTATCTTATATAATAAATATTTGTTTTAAAAATAAATTTTACTCCTTTTATAATTTATATAATACAATCTAAATGTATTTTTTTTAATTAATGTACAGTTTTAAAAATTATATTAAATTACATTTTGCATAATGAAATGTAAGAAATAAGAAATTTCTTGTGACATGAACACAAATAATTATTGGCATGTTTGTAACTTTACAAAAAGTGATTTATCTTGCACGTCATTATGATCACAATCGGACTTATTTTGCAAAAAAATAAATTATTGAATTTATTTTTACAATTAAAAAAAGGTGGAAAAAAATAGTAATCAAAATTGAGTATTTTTTCTTAAGTACATTTTTTAATTTAAAATGACTAATATTTGTACATTGTTATTTGAATTATTCTATACCAGATTATCTATAGAATAGAAATAATGTATTATGTTATTATCGAAACAAATTTGGAAAAAAGTTTCAAGAAGTGTCTTTAATGTGACAAATACATTTTTATGTCAAATATCACTAATATTTTTCTAAGTAAAAAAATAATTTAGTTTGAAGATTATATATATATATATATTGTATTTTGTAGTCACAATCAATTATATGTTGTTGTTTCTAGAGTCATGAATCTCTGTTATTTGATGATTGTTTTTTATGATGATAATGGTGATAATGAATATAATTCATCCACTACTAATATTATATTTAAGAAAATAATTCAAAATATAATAAATAATATTTTCATCTACGTCATTTTTAACATCAAGCCGCGCAACGCGCGGGTGCCGTACTAGTAAACCCAAATTTTCCGTTCCGCGAGGAAATTACCGCCAATTGAACCACAAACCCTAGTTAAAAATCTAACCAGGGTTAGTTGCTTTGGGTGGCGCTCGGTCAGTGGTCACCACTATCCTCTCGCACACACGCACAGTGCGTGTGCGGTGAAAAAGGAGACAACCAAAACCCACGTTCAGTGAAGTGAAACACACACACACACACACACACACACACAATTAATCAGTAGTTATATAATTATAATACTATGCTACACTACTTACGAAAAGCAGTCTAGAGAGAGAAAAGTAGATTGAGAGAGAGAGAGAGAGAGAGAGAGTTTGTGCTGAAATTTGCTGGGTTTGTTATTGCGATTTAAAGCAGTAGATTGAGTTTGTGCAAAGAACATTAATTGAGACGTGGATACAAAAACACAGGTGAAGCCATGGCGAACAGGGTTCCATTTATTCAGCAACAAAAGAGTGCTAATTTCTCAGGTCAAGGTCCTTT